GGGCCACCAGTCTAAATGAGCTCCAACTTTTCAACTCTGCTGCTCTGGTGACAGAATTAGTTAGAATTTATTTACTTTTTAACAGCTTTAGAAAATTTTTTTTGGAAAAAATTATTGTTATGGCTTTTTTCTCGGTTTATACGGCTCTGCTTGCTTATTGAACCCTTCTAACCCATATATATATCACGACCAGTAATTTATTTTGACTGCAGGTATTACTTTGCTAATTTTGCTTCCAAGATTTGTAACATAATGCAGAGAAATTTTTTATGCATTTGACTATCGAATCTACACGAAAACGTGATGGTGAAAGTGCTTCTTTTCTTTAATACTTCTATGAATTTAATGGAATCACTAGTGTTTCTTCTCTGTAGTTCGGAGCCTATTTGTAAAGGTTATTCTTAGTTAGGATTTATGATGAAAATGCCTCTCTCCTGCCGGACATCGTCGCTAGTCCTCTCAATATGCCTTCAATTTTCAGATTAATACACTGCTGCAACACCGGATGAACAGAAATACTCGCAATGATTTCACTACTTTCATTAAAATATTAAAGGAAAGAAGCACTTTCAGCATCACGTTTTCGTGTGGATTCGCCAGTCAAATGCATAAAAAATTTCAGTGCATTATACTAGAAAGCGTTGAGAGGAAGACTAGCAAAACAATACAAGCAGTCAAAAAAAAGTATTGCGCGTGATATATATTGGATATACAAACCGAAAAAATAGTCATGACAGTAATTTTTTTCTAAAAAAAATTTTATGAAACTATTTAAAAGTAAATAAATTTTTATTGATTGTGTGTTACGAGAGCAGTAGAGTTGAAAAGCTTCACAAGAATTATATATACTACAAATATAGAAATAAAATTTTGTTAAGACAGAAGCCCTGACACTTTCAAAAACTCTAAAATGTTGCTTCAATTAAGTGTTTTTCTAGCCTACTATCGCTAACCTTACCGTAATTCTTATTCCGTAAAGATGCCACCTTGTGATTTTTATATGTTCTGTTAAATTTATTGGTTGATACTTTTTTTTGGAAAATTTAAAATGTCGCTTTTTGAGAAAAACCGTTTTGAATTTTGAATTTTTGTTTTTATTTCAATCTAAAACAAAATTTGCTAATTCAAGCGTTTCACTACTTTTCTGAATCTGGAGAAGACAGGCTTCAAAGTGAAATAAAAAAAATGAGCAAAGTCCATTGCGAACTGAGAAAAGTATAAGTTTTTAAAGGTGACCATGTCAAGTGTGAATCGCATTTTTCTTCGCACCTTAGAACGGGCTAACTTTGGCGCCAGCCCACTTTTTAAAGTAAATTCTTTCA